TACAATTAGAATATCGTTTTTTCGGTGAAACGAGCAGATTTATACTTATATCGTTTTCGTTTTTTTCACACACTTCGTTGTTGTGTTCTGCTGCTTATGCGATGGTAAAGAAATTTTTTTGGTTATAAGGTAATTTAAATAGCAGGCAAAAGTAGGAAATTCTGCCGGCAAAACATAAAAATAAAAAAGTGAGGGACACGTCATTTTCATTTTCTAGACATTGTATAAAATAAAGTTTAATTACCAACACTTGATTTTCCTTAAATATAGAACTAATACTTCACGAAACCTTTTTTTTAATCTGGTTTAAACACTATATTTTCGACATTTCATTCATTTGAACATTGAAAATGTCTCCGGGGACGCATTACACTTATGACATTTTGTCTGCTTTTTGTTCTGCTAATATTATGAAAATCACTTTTATGTCCTTGTAAGTAGAGAAATTATTGAAAATTATTGCTTTTTACTATATAAATAAATTAATTTCAACTAAGGTTATATCAATTTTTTTGGCAAGGGACACGAATATGACAATTTAAATGAAATGAGCCATATACACTAAGTATACTTTGTATTCACTCACGTACAGTGAGTGATTTTATACAAATGAATTATGTTATTAATTTATATTATTAATATTATTATATAAATACAATGAATTAAAAATTAATTCACTGTAATACTGTATTTTTACATCGAAAATATTCTACAAAATGCAATGTGACAAACTGGAACTCGTCAGAAGGTGGACATTTTATATACAAAATGTACCAACCCTTGGACAATAGCACCTTTGTTAATATGGATTAAGTCTAAGGACCCAGGTAATAATTTCTATTCTCCTACTTATTACATGGGAAAATAAAGATATACCAACCCTTGGACAATAGAACCTTTGTTAATAAGGTATCGGTTGAGGTAACGCTTTTATTAACGCTTGAGGTAACGCATATCTTTCCTTCTCATACGAAGGAATATAACTTATGAACTTTTTTTTCGTTTAATATTGCATTTCTCAATCTAGAGAATTTAAAATTGACATAAAAATATCTTTGTCTAAAGTTCTTACTCTTCTTTCTTTCTGTTTCCAAAATAAAATAAATATACATATACCTGCATATACCTGTTTAGACCCTCAGAATAACTACCACAAACAATACCAACTCTTGGAGTATAGACCCTTTGTGAGTTTGTTAATGAGTATTAACCCTGAGGACCCAGGTAATAATTAAAATTTTTTTTTTTTAATAAAATTTTCTGGGGCTCTTATACTGGTATATACAGATGTATATTTATTAATATTTTCCAAACAAAAAGGAAGAAGATTAAGATTTTAGACGAGGATATTCTTATGCCATTTTGAATTGTCTAGATAAAGAAACGAAATATTAAACGAAGAAGTGCTTTTGTTATATTCCTTGGTGTAAGAAATAAAGTTATGCGTTACCCTATTCAGTTTTAGACTTTCTTTATAACTTTTCCACGTTATAAAGGGAGTAAGAATTTATTACCTGGGTCCTCAGAGTTATTTAATCCTCTTTAACAGATTGCAGGTTAAGCGAACCCTCATTTGCAAAATAAAGATATATCTTTCTCTTTCCATAACTTGTTCCTCTCTCTGTCACCGAAAACACAGCACGGGTGCGAACGGAATGAATGTCCCCTCTCTCCCTCCTAGAGAGTAAGGGCGGAAGGAGTGTGAGCTAATGGTGTGACACTCGTTGTGAGTTTAATGGCGGACGTATATGTGACGCTCCACAGGAAAGGTGTTTAAAGTCGAACGTTTTGATTAGCTGAGACGCGCCAGCGAAAATCAGCCCCACTGCCTTACTACTACAACGTTCCTAAATCTCACGGATACAACAAGTATACTAGTAGTAGTGGTGGTGGGGATGGTTTCCGTAGTCCGTGCTGGAACGCGATTGACATGGTCATGTTTAAAGCTTTATTACAAAAAAAGTAATTAGTTCTATATGAAAGAGTAACTCAAATACTATCGATTCGCATATAAAACTGGAAATTAATTTTTTGTCGCGATAGGTCCCTTTTCTCGTGAAGCGTCACATATTATGAAAAAATTACAAATAAAGGATAAGTGATAAATATTTCTATTCTCAATTGCACTGCCCTTCGATTCATGGAGTTTCTGTGTGATCCAATATCCACCACCTAGGATCCACACAAATGAATGAATGAATGAACTGGCAAATTATTATATATAATAATAATTTTTAGGCAAAAAATTATAGAATTTTTAATTTGAAAAAATTATTTCTGTAAAAATTGTTTATCATAAACGTATGATACGCGTACTTCATCTTCGTTATGATGAACAAAAAAAAATTAAAAATTTACGGAACTCCGTCCGTAACAACATTAATTAACTAAAGATAATTTTAACTAAATATAATATTTTTTAATATCCATATATTATACATTTATATTTTTTCAATTTTTCAAAAAAGTATGACCTTTTTGTACTCGCTTGTAGATGTTTGTCTAATCATAAGATTAGATTTTTACAGGAATTAAATAAAAAGTAATATAGATATTTATGTAATACTTGTGAATTTCATATTATTCAATTTCTTCAAAATGAGTTTAAATATTCCGCAAAAGATAACCAGAAATTACATAGCCATTGATTTATATTCTGACGACAACATAATGTCAGCTTACTCGAAAAAGTTTACCATAAATGACATTAACTTCCAAATCTCCAATGTTCACCAAATTTAGTTCAATTTCTTGAAATTCTTGACAAATTTAGAGTTTGATAGTTAAATGTTTCCGGATAATTTCCAGAACTAAATAATTTTATTAATTGTTAGAAGCAAGCACTATTATCAAGTAATAGTAACTCATGGTTTTACTGCAATAGTTATTTTCGAACACTCAACGTCTTCAATGCAATACTTAAAAGTTAAAACACTACTTTTTTTATATCGAAAACTTTAAACGCGTTTAACTCAAAACTTGTTTTTTCGCGTGCCGAGCAATGCAGCTCAGACATTTTTTAACCGATTTTCATAAAACTTACCAACAATCTTCTTTAACTTACAAGCTATTGCATGACGTTCTGTTTTTTTTTTTTAATTTTAAACAATTTTTTTGTAGATAGTTTATAAAAAAATGGATTTTCTTTTCAAAATGGGCCCAAAACTTCAAAAAAAAATTTTTTTGATTTATTTTCTGTCATGCAAAGCGTATTTTAACGATAAAATTTTATTTTTTTATTTTTGTTGAGATTTGAGACCAGTAGAGTGGGGAGTTGTGCTCCGGGTTTTGTTTTTCGATTAAAACTGTTATACATATGAGGCAAAATTCCTGAATTGATCCAACTTTAAAATTGAAGGTTTTCGAATCGAGCTGAACTTTCACAAACTTTAGTACTATGGGTAAGTACTTTACCCATAAATTATTATTAAGTTTTATGCAAAACCTGTAGAGGGGGTTCAAGTTTCTCATCAAATGTGAACAGTGGATTTTTTAAAAAAATCGTAAATTTTGAATTTAAAAAAAAATTTCACCATTCGAAAGAGCAGAAAAAAACCTTTCGAAAACATACATGTCAAAATTTTGTTCATCCATTTATATAGAAAGTACGGACTCCTTGAAGGAGAGATCGATATTTTTCTGCGCATCTTGTTGTACAAGAGTGTACTTTTAAGTGAAAAAGGCGTTTTCTAGATTTTCTTTTAAAAAATATAGCCAATGATATGAAAAGGATTGTAACATGTGGTGCTTTTCCTATGACTAAAATCAAGCAAACATATTTAAAAATTTTGTGACCTGCGAGCCTGTTCTCCAACAGTCAGTCAAAAGGGTCCTTTATGGTTTTTCATTGCAAAATTAAAAATTGTTAGAATTTGCAAAACTAAAAATTGTTAGAATTTGAAAAAATAATGATTTAAATATTATATTTGCAATGTACTGGTTAAAACAATTACAACGGTATAAATTTTTTTGCAAATACTATAAAATTAGAGTAGGGGAAGGTGAGGTAATTGGAGAGCATGGGTAATGGGAAGATTGTGCTAGCCAGCAGAGTTTCTTTAGCTCGATATGGCTTTTCTTTTTTTTGAAAATTAAACAAGATTCATTTATAAAATTTGATATTGTTGCATATTTAATTACTAAGAATCAATATTTGTGTTTTATTGTCTAAAATGTGTTATTATTGGATATTTTAATACTAAAGAAGCTGTAGGTCTTTTTTAGGTCTTAAATATTTTGTAAAATTTTCATCTGTCGAGAACTATTGACAAAATTAGAAAAATCTCTAAAGAAAATATAAATTATATCTTTTTATTGGAATTTCAAGTGAGAGCTCCCAATAACCCACAGGTGGGGTAATGGGAGAAAATTCATTTTTTTAGAAAACATTATTTTTTGCAAACTTACTTTTTTGTTTTTAATTTCTAATTAATTATAATTAAAGATAAATAACACAAGGAGTAAAAATTGACAAAAACAATATTTTATTATCGAAGTTTCGACGGGGTAGCGACAAAATAATATATGGGTTCATCTTGTGACCCATATCGGGGAGGCGTTCCATTGCAATCTTAAGGACGCAATATCTGGACCTAGGTGAGGTTATGGCTCAATGTTTATATGAACTGGCCATTAATAATTCACGTAGCAAACAATGAAATATATGAATATTATATCAATCACTCCGATTCAATAAAAACACAGTTGTTTTACGTTAGAAATATAGAATACAGGTAAAATACATAAAACAATAAGTTTTTTAAAGTGAAATGATAAAGTGAGTTGATAAACGACGAGTTGGTCACTGAGTGTCGTTCTATCGACTCACGCTCTAATTTTATCATTTCACTTTAAAAATATTATTTTTTTATGTAAGTTACCTAACTTTCTTTTAAGTTTTCAATATTTATTATTTTACCTAGTGATAAATTCAAATTTTATTGATGAAATACATGTTACAGTAACTATATATCATACTATACTATATATTATTTAATCAGGCCCAAGAAAGGCACGGTAGTGCTGAAGATAGAATTCAAAGACTGGAAACACAATTGGAAGAGAAAAGTGCTGAAGTGATGAGACTTAACCAGCGACTTAAAATGAATGAGGAACATAACACACGACTAAGTACTACAGTAGACAAACTTCTATCAGGTAATTAATTAATTTTTTTAAAAAATTTGCCCGCTCCCCCTTCGAGGTAGCGGATACATTCTTATCCGCGCTTCGCGCGGGGGGCTCACAACTTTAAGCGCGCCTCGTGGCTACGCGCTCCGAATGTTATTCTGCTCCTACATTTATCCAGTTCCTCCGCTTTTCCGTTATATATTTTAAATATATGTGACGTGGACAGTTAAAAGGTACCTTACGTCCGAAAAAATGGATTTTTTATTGGTTGGTATTTTTGATAGAGGTTTTTTTTTTGCTTAGGGACTATTGGGAAATCTGTATACAGATACCTTGGCTTCCGCATGCCAAGGTTATGTGGGGTTGGTAAAAAAAAAGGAAAACACTAAACAAAATAAGCTGGCGAACTACTACCAGCCCCGACCCACTAAAAACCCGTCAACCCTTCTTGGGAGCCCTTTTATACACCCTCGGTACTGTCGTGAAGACTTTTGCCTTCGAGGGTGGCGCTCCTACTCTGTCGCAAAGCGACTTCGTCCAGTCCTGCGGAAATCCTGCGTTATCAATTTTCAATAATAAAAACGATAATCAAGTTCAAAGCGGAATTAACAGCCCACCAGAAATGAAAACAATAAAAAAGTCAATATATGTACCCAGGTTTTTACTGTGCTCTGTAAATTTTACAATTTCATTTTAATCAAAAAATTTTACATAGAAAAGTTGATTGTCTTCTCCTGGACTATAAAGCTGTGTAGTGAAAAAAAATTGTTTTAAAAAAATTGAAATTTCAAAATTTTGAAAATGCTGCAGTTTTTGATAAAAATGGCTGGCTAACGAACTTGATCTGGAAATCAACCGGAAATCGAGAGCAAACTATGGGGCCTTCATACCATCCACCCAAACTGACAAATTCCGTTTAGAACTGCCTATCTACATTTAATGGCACTTTTTGTCTTTATTGACTGGTCTATTACCTTAAAAACACGGTTTTTGAGGTATTAACTCCCAGCTTTTTAAACTTTCCAATTTTTTTTAAATCTTGCGTATATGGGTCTTAAAGTGTAAGATATAAGCTTTAATTTAAGCCTATATAGAAGTGTCTAGCAGGTCGAGTTAATGAGAAAAAAATGAAAACCCTCAAAAACACTGTTTTCGCAGATTTTACACCCTCTTTACTCAAAATCTTGACGTGATACGCAATTTTGGAACCCGAGATCGTGTTCAGTACACATAAATACATTGGAAACCACTCCGACAACTGAAAAAAAATCTGCCCGCTCCCTCTTCGGGGTAGCGGACGCATTCTCATCCGCGCGGAGTAAGTTTGAGCCTCGAGGCGCGCGAAAAGCACTCTGTCGCGCTCCGAATGTTAAGCAGCGTCTACAATAAGCGCGTCGGACATGTACGCGAACGTGTGCCTAATAAGAAAGAGGGGTACGGAGATATACATCTATACCCCTCTCTCTCATTAGGTACACGTCCGACGCGCTCAAACGCTCTTATTGTAAAGAGCGTTGGCACGGTGTGCCAGATACAATTTTAATTGACAGTGTTTTGTATATGATATTTTTTTTGTGGTTTCTTATTTCGCCACCATTTTAAGACCAAAAACGTAATAATCCGTCGGGTTCTTTTAAAGAAATGTGATTTTTTCCATTTAAAGTTTGAAAAGTTGATTTCAAATTTTTGTTATCAATTACAGGTAAATGTCTCTAAAAACTATAAAAAAGTATTTTCAATAGTATATTATGTGGCAAGCACGTAAAGTAGTACTTTTTAGGTGAGGATGTAATTTTCAGTACGAGCTGTCGTTAGTGCGACGTAGGTGAGACGAAAGCGAAACCGAAGTCGCACAGACAGCGAGTATGGAAATCATCCGAACCTAAAAATTACTACGTGCGAGCCACATACGCTATTTTTTTCGCCATTGTTATGAAAAAGTGAAACAATTTTAGAGAAATATATAATATATATTATATATTATGTATGTAGTGTTGTGGAAAATTAAAGTTAAAGTTTCAACAAAATGAAAAGTTGAAATAAAAATTAGATATAAAGTGTCTTTGTTCTGAAAGTCTTTTTGAAAGTTTAGACCTGTGTTTGTCGCAAGGCGCCCGAGAGTCGCCAAAGTGTTTATGATAGATATCGTGTAACCTAAACAGTTTGAGTGGACCGAAGTGGCGTGATTTCGATTCTCCGAATGCACGTGTGACATTTTTCTATGCAAGTTAGAATGAGTGCGAGTGTGAAAATTAGAGAAAGAAAAGACGATCAAGACTCATGCCCTGCGTGGCAACGAGATCACGAATCAGTTGAGTTTTTGATCGCCGAGAGAACAGTCCGATTAAGGATTCTTATTTTGTACCCGAATATCTCTTTTGTTTATCTTTTATAATTTGTAAAACTTCTGCCTACTTTTTGATTTTATGGATTTTAATAAAAATACGTACTTTAATAATTGTTTTGGAATTGATCCTACATGTATTATATATTATATAAATATATATGGGGTAAAATTCATGTAGCGGACTAAGTCAAAAAAAAAGTTGCTCAGATCGGGCTGTAACTTACACATTGTTTAGCCCTATGGGTGAGTACCTTAACCACGAAGTATTGTTAGGTTTTATCAAAAACTGTAGGAGGGGGAGGGGGTTGAATTTTTTTGAAAAATCTGAACAGCGAATTTTTGAAGACTTGTAACTTTTAAATAATAGGATGAAAGAAAATTTGACCTTTATGTTTTCGAAAGGGTTTTTCTTGCTCTTTCGAATAGTGCAAAAATTTTTTCAAAAAATTCAAAATTTGACCCTTTTTTTGAAAATCAAAAATTTTTTGACTTTTTTTTCGATTTTGGTCCGTTTTTTTTTTTTTTTTTTTTTTATAGTTAAAAATGTGTATTTTCACTACAAAAAATGCTGAGATGTCCTTTTTTGTTATTTTCGAGAAATTAAAAAAAATGTGATTGAAAATTTTTCAAAAATTTAATAATTCTTCAAAAAATGAAGTTAGGGATATTTAATTCGTTTTATTTTGAAAATTATGAACATTTGCATCACAAAAATCAATATACAAAGTACTTTGTATATCATAAAACCGATTTAAATAAATAAAATTGAAAAATCAATCATAAATTAAGCATCACTTCTTGGTGAACTGCTCGCTGCATTTTTCAGGGTTGAGACTGTCATTAAATTACTTCAATGCCTGCATTACAGTGTAATGTGTAAGTGTATGAATTTAAGTTATTAAATTTTACTATAAAAATGTGATTTATTTTGTAGTGTAAAAGAGTAGTGTTGAATTAAAGTGTTTTCGGAAAAAAATCACTTGCTGTTGCAGACGAGAATTTTTTCAATTGCATGAGTCTCCTTATTTTTTAAAAAAATTTGAATTTCTTTGCAACTTATTTTTGCCCAGTTAAACAGATTTTCTGCTGTAAGAATATGTTGCTGTGAACTTGCTTGGAGACTTGCACGAGCAGCTCCTCTCTTTATATTGGCTCCAATGCCATCGCAGTCACTTTTACCATGGGCAGTGACATGGTAATGCCATTCAGCAGGAATGGCAAAATCTTTTACATGAGCTTGAAGATTTGCTAGTGAATTTTTATTTTTAAAATGCTGTTTTGCCCCATCTGAAAAGCAACATATTCTTACTGCAGAAAATCTGTTTAACTGGCCAAAAAAAAGTTGCAAAGAAACTCAAATTTTTTTTTAAAAATAAGGAGACTCATGCTTCAACGACAGAAATGTTGAAAATAAGATTTAACAATGCAGTGACCATACCTGGTACTTCACAATATCATTCTTTTATACCATCTGAAGATAACAGAATGCAATTGAAAAAATTCTCGTCTGCAACAGCAAGTGATTTTTTTCCGAAAACGGTAAAAAAAACCCCAGTTGAAAGAAGCGTAAAAGAAAAAACATTAAAAATTCAGGTAAAGAAAGGGGCCGTCCAGATACCACGTGGACAATTTTTCATCACTTTTTGACCCCCCCTCGTGGACAATTGTGGACTTTTGACGAACCCCTCCACCCCCCTAAATGTCCACGTGGACTTTTTTTGGTGAAAATTTTTTGTTTGTATGTTTCTTATTTTAAAATGGTAAATAAATAGATATTTAATAGTTATTAGAAAACATTTAGTCACTCTTTCTTTTAATTATAAAAATAATTTTCAAGTTTACTGCTAGTAAACTTAAAATTTTGCTAAGCAAAATAACATTTTTGGTTGAATCACATAACAATCACATTGGTAACACATCTTAGAATAACGTTTACCAACTAAATACCATTATTTTTTGGTATCGTGAAGATATTTTTGGCAAAAATATTTCAAATTACTCTACAAACTAAAAATACATAAATCTTTTTGGCAACAAATCTTAAATTATCGATCACTATAGCTAAAAATACAATGTATGGTAGAATTAAAATATTTATGCCAGGAATATCTGAAAATTATCGTATAAAATAAAAGTAGGTAAATCTTTATGGTAACAAATCTTAAAATAATATCGAAAAAACCACAAATCTACTAATCGTCATCTATATTATCATTGCTGATCCATGGTTGTGTTAACCATTCGGTAAGATTATCAGTTGCGAAAAAATCAATGGAGCTCTCTGAATTTACATTATTTTCCATCTCTACACAAGACACTTCAACAAGTTCCGTTTCTTCATCCCAATCCTCTGTATTTCTTTTACGTTGATTTTTATGTAATATTTTAACGTGAGTAGTTAAGTGCGACTTTGCGGCAAAATAAAAGCAAAATTCACTGCATATGCGTTTTAAAATTTTAAAAACAGTCTGTTAGTTGATTGAAGTATTTTGAGTCAATAGTAGTTTCAAAATTCAAGATGTATTTCAAATCAAAATTTGTTACGCTAAGAATCAAAATTTTTATCGGAGTCCTATCTGTGGAATCTTTTTAAGGGGTCACTTACCTTGCAGTACAGGTAGTACTGAAGGGCAGTACAAATCATAAGGGAGATTTTGAGGTAAATCATTCACAGTAGGTC